GATGCTCTAATGGTAGGTTCAGATTGGGCACAGCCGCAATCTTCTGCCACTCCGTGAGCCAGTCCCGTGTTGCTGTGTTGCCCTGTGACATGGTGAACAAACGGTTGATGGCGAGTGTCGGCGCGTCGTCGACGATGAACYGCTTCTTCCACAGCCGTGTYAGTTCYTCCCATGTGATTACGTCCTTCAAGTCTGGTACGTCGACGCCGTGGGAGGTTGCCAGGTGGCTCAACGAGGTCTGGCATCCGCCCTTTGAGTTCAGGAACAGGGCGCCGATGTACGCATGCTTGGCTACTGGCAGAATCCTGAGTTGCGTTGTGAATTCTTCCCACCAGAGGACGGGATCCTGCTGCGTGTAGTCGTCGAACCTCTCCTGATTGAAAGTTGGCATCTTGTACATCTTCGGATTGTCGTCCGCGTTYGTCGACTGCAGCTTCTGGACCTCGGTCTTCAATGTATGCAGCTGAYTGCTGATGGTGGTGGTCGGCGCAGCGAAGGTGCTGATGTCGCCGAGCATTGCCACTACGTGGTCAACGCGGTCCTCCAGTTGGCGGCTTGAGGGTGCACTGCTGGAAGCTCCAGCAGTTGGTCCTGGTACAGCCTGTTCCAGGTCCAGCAATCGGGCATTGAGTGCCAGGGTTGCATCCTCGTGGCTCTGCACCATGCGGCGGAGTTGTGCCAACTTCTGATGCTGTTGCGTCAGGTCCTGGTACTGTCTCTCCAACTCTGACCKTTGGTAGTTGCAAGCATACAACAACCGCGTCACGAGTTTGGAGAGGAACTCCTCGTGCTTCTCTTCCGGTGTTGCGTCGTCGCCGTTCGGTTTAAAATGCCAGTACTTGAGTCTGTCGATGCTGTTGGCTTCATGCCGGTGCAGCAGATCCTGGGCTTCCTTTCGGCGAGCCTGGGCATCTGCTTCTGCATCGGCCTGTAGCCGCAGTTTCTCTGCTGCTGCTGCCTCTTCAGCTTGTATGCGGGCAGCCTCGACTGCCAGCAGGCGTTGTTCCTCAGCCTCTATCTGATCCAGGCAACGCTGCTTGTAGGCGGCAATGGTCTCATTGGCCAGTTGGCCTGGCAGGCACGTCATGTTGCTGACGTGGCACTGCTGCTTACGTGGCACTGCTGATGTGGCACTGCATCTGACGTGGTACTGCTGACGTGGTACTGCTGACGTGGCACTGCTGATGTGGCACTGTGTTGAACATCACTGCTGACGTGGCACTGTGTCTGACGTGGCACTGCTTACGTGGCACTATGTCTGACGTGGCAATGTGACCTGGCACTGCGGACGTGGCACTGCTGATCTGGCACTGTGACGTGGCACTGCTAACGTGGTACTGTGACTTGGCACTGTGACGTGGCACTGCTGACGTGGCACAGCTGATCTGGCACTGCTGACGTGGCACTGTACCGAAATGGGATGCATGCAAGGGG